ATACTTTCGTTCTTCAATGACCAAATTCCACTTTCATTCGTTGTAGTGACTGTTCACTATGTAGAAATATTAAATATAGGTGATTTAACAGATTCAACTTAATCGTTTCCTTTTCAGCATTAACATTACGCGACATGTTGGGTCTATCCAGACGAGGTTGATGGTGCGGGAGTGATTCCGTTTATTCCCCCTTTCTTTGTTAATCATTGTTATCGACGTCGATAACAACTGATCGGTTGATTCAGCATCCTATTCTATCACAAACTGCTCTAACTGCACGTCGATCGGTTCATCATGGTCGAGGGTGTCTTGGTGAATGTCCACATTAGTGCAGGACTAGCCTCGGAAGCTTCTGCAAATTATTGCGCAACGCAGTCCAGTCTGCATGCTTCTTTACATCCTTTTGTACATTTGCAGGAGATGGTTATCAGAAGTCTACTTCAAGATGGTGTCAATTTTCCAGCCCTAGTCTTGTGGATAATTTCTGTTTCTGCACCATTTTTGAACTGGAGAATATGGCTCTAAAGGAATCCTGGTTTGCTGCATTTACAAGAAACTCATAATTATTCATAGCTGAACAATGACCACAACCAGTAACAATTGGAATTTGGTAAATGGACTTTAATAGTTTCTGGACTTTTCAAAAAATTCGGAAAAATTTGTCCTTGATTTAACATCATCTGAAAACTAAAATTGCTAAACAACCACATCAAAGTACTTTGATGTTACCTGCTGTGACGTCACTTTAGTTAAACCTGTCTACTTATTATTACTCTGTCTTTTTCTAATGTCAAAAAAACTGTGATAATTTGTGATAATGGAGGTTATTCCCGTGCTAACTGTACAATATTAAAATGAAAAATATGATAAAAGTTAGTCTACATAATATTTGTAGAATAACTACAAATGCTGTTTGGCTATTATCGGTTACTGAAACATATTGAACCAATTGAAATAATAAATAAAACTTATGAACTTCAATATTCAAAATATTTCAGTCAACAAGTTTTTAATAATATTGATATAAGCTTGACAATTAACTAGTTCCCCCAGTTTATATTCAAGCATAATTGGACATAACAATTTTGGGAACTAGCACATCTGAAAGGCTGGTCATATAAATAGGCTGGCGTCAATCCCCATCCCTCCCCCAAAATGATTAGCCATTATCTTCAACAGTGTCGATTTTTTAATGCTAACAGTTTTGTGCTAATCTATGCTAGGTGTGGAAATCTCGTTTCTAAATGATAAGGGGTGCTGAGAAGAAAATGTTAACCCATTATATGGCCACCCTTGAAAATGTTCTAGCTCCGCGGGTAATTGTGTCAAAATGTCCTTGCTATAAGGTATTTTGCCAAAGTTTCAAAAACTTAATGTAAAATGGAGGAGCTAGCGTCATTCTAGGCATTAATTATTTTTTGGGTATGGGTGTGTACCAGCAAAACTAAGATGAAAAGGTAACTGAGTAAATGACCCAGATTATAAGGCATTTGTAAACAGTTTCATTTTTCGGAAAATCTTATCTACTCAATTTTCCAAAAAATAAATCTTCTGATAGTTTAGAACTGCTTCAGCAAAAGAAACAAATAAAACTGGTAAAGAAAATAACTCAAATAAATCTGGTAGACTAAAAAGTATAGAAGCAGTTTCACGAGTTTGGCTACAAGAGAAGATAAGATCTACACCTATTATAATTTTGGGCCAAATTATGGAAGACTCTGATTTCAATATGAAAAAGAAGAATGATAAAAGACTATGAAGAAATTATAGTTAAAACTATAATGTCAAAAGCATATTCAAAAAAGTATTCACTAATTACTGAAAACTATTTTCAATATTAAGATTATTGGTGTATAAATAACAGGTCCTTTTTCTCACAAACTCTTTATTAATGCTACCAGTTTCGTGGTATTTACACTAAACGTATTATCACATCTTCAGACAACAAGACCAAAAATTGTTTGAAAACATTAGGAAAAAATAGATTGAATTGAAAATTGACGAATATAAGGTTAAAATTTTAAAGATAAAACTTGCGTTAAAATACAAATATACAAAGATTTTTCCACATTTAAAAGCAATAAACAGCCAAACAACAAGATACATCACTGAAAAATTTATGTTGGACTGTAAAGTAAAAAATTTAAAACAAATTAATCAGTCTACGATATATCATCTGTTCATAGATTAATGACAGGTGAATGTGGGGACCTCTATCGTGAAATATAACGTGATCTTTCAGTTATATGTCACCATGTGAGGTTTTTTACTACTAAGTTTAATAAGACTAATTGAAAGTATATCTAAAATTCTAAAACTAGTCCAAAACCACAACAACCGACACTTAAAACTCCTCTTTTTGCAAAAATAAGTTCTGGGGTCCGGACGCAGCCGCTGTGGTCCCTGGGAGCTAGTTTTTTTGTAAACACAACTAGCGATGACACAAAACAGAACTAAAAACTGTGTGGAGTTATAGAGCAAATATATTTTCAATATTATCAAATTTTGTGAAATGCTGTTTTTTATTAGTTGGGTTGCAATTTTATTAGTATTGTATCAACGAATGAAAATAAAATGAAAACCAGGAAAATTCAAAAATTGGGATAACTCTGCAATATTTTTCTCTTCAGTGTGGTTACACAAGGTGTACCAGAATGACACCGATTACCTTTTTTTTCTGTTAGTAGTACGTTTCATTGCCCAAAATATTCTATAACCACAAATATTATTAATCTGACCTACAATTTATATCAAATAATACAGAAATAAAGGCATTATTAAAAAAATCAATATGAAGGCTAGCGTCGATAGCTTAAAAATTCATAGTTGGCACTGATTTCTAGTCTACCATGGCTACTTTCTTTGTTAGTTATCATTTTTGACCTTTTTGTGAAATCTGTATTTCGCACAAAATATTGATCACACTGTACGTATTCTCTACTTGAATATTTAATTGCGGAATGATCAAAGCGCATCCGTTTTTTGACACGCCTGAGGCCAGTCGTCTTTCGTTGTTTAATGGCTACCGCCTATAGAGACCAAAACAGCATTTTCAGACTTGTATTTGTGAATACACACTTTCGAAAAGGAAGCCGACGTTTAACGAGTTTTATTGCTTATTATGGTCTGGCACCTCTGGCTGATTTAATTTTTTTTATGTGTTAAATTACGTTATATTTATTATCATACAAAGCAGCATCATTATTATTTTTTAATTTATTGACAGTAACACTTTAACGTGAATAAAATAAAACAACATTTGTTCATGTCAGTGAATTGTCTACGTTAACAAGGGGTATTCTAAATGTATAAAAGTTTTACTAGTAAAAGAACGAGATCATAAAATAATAAAAAAAAAACATCTTTTAGTTCTAACAAAAATATAGGCAGATATCTTTTCAATGCAAAACAAAAAACTGATATCTCTAAAAAAATGTGGTGTATATCGGTTAGATTGCCCAGAATGTAACGCCTTATATGTAGGTCAAACAGGTAGATCGTTCGGAGTAAGATATAGAGAACATATTCACACACAAAGACAACATTCCAACTTTTATAAACACTTAACAGATCTGGTCATACCAAAACTGTTGACCATCAACCTAAAATATTACATATTTGTGAGAAAAGTAAATAACTTAATTTATTAGAAGTGCTAGAAACTAATAAATTAAATAGGAATAAAAATTAAAACATATTAAACGACCAAATAGATTTAAATAATTCTCCATTATTAAACTTGTTCAGATAACCTAATGCTGTTAGTAAAAATCACACCATAATATAATTTACTATCTTGTAAAACCCCTACATTTAAAGACATAACATCTGTACAAATTTGAATTATATGATCAACCATAAAGTGACCCACCATTCTATTCAGTTCAGTTTATATTTAAATGAAAGTAAAATCTGTGTATAATTTAGTTTACTTGAAAATGTCCGAATAGGATGAAACTAGTTGTAAAATAACAAATAAAGTGAAAATTAGACAGGTATTAAAAAGTGTTTATAATTTTTTAAATCTTAAAATAATGTTCACGTTATACGGTCGTCAATGCAATGAAAATGTTGTTCGTGCTAGCCCGAGGTTCACGTTAGCCAAAGTTTCACATTAGCCGATGTTCATGTTATCGCGTCTCTGCTGTACATACCTTTAATTAAAATTAAGTTTTTTTCCCATGTAGTTTTTAAATATTTACCCTATCAATTAGATAGGCCTCCCTTAAGTCTTTTTAATTAGACAGAAAATCTACTATAGCGGCATTATCTGCTATATTAACTATAATGTATTAAATAATTTATAAACATCTCGATCACGGGAATATAGTGTTGCCAATAATTATTGATTTGTCTAGGGAGTTTGACTGCAGAGATCATGGTCGCCTTCTTCATAAAATCAAGGCTTGTAAGTTTATGTGGACAATATGCAAGGTTGCACAAATATTTTTTTCTACATGTTCAGAGACATGCAGTACCCTACTACCATATTTTGAAGGCGACGAAAGCATCAAAGAAAAAGACCACTTAATTATCTGGTCTGAGTCCTGTGTACGCCAAAATAAAAATTTTCATATGATCTGCCTATACCAATACCTTATCTTGAAAGATTACGTTGATCGTATTGATCATAAATTTCCTAAGGTTGGCCTTACCTACCTAGATTCAGACTTCGGGAGAATAGAGAAGGTACTATGAAGGCATGACATTGTGTATGGACCAGACAAGTACCGGGAAAAATCAGATAGTCGATATAGCTCAACATTTCAGAAAAAGTGAGGCAATTACTAACAAACTCCGACTGAATAAAGGATGAGCCAAATGAAATAGTGAGATTTAAAGATGAAATGAAACGGAGAGTCAAAGAGTATGGATCTTACCTCTACAAAGAGTCATAATACAACGAAATAAATATGAATTAAGAAGTAACCTTTAAAGAATTATCCTTTCTAACTGAGAAATAATATTCAAGAATTATATTTTTCGAATATTTGGAGGATAGCTTAGTGGTCGAGTGGTAAGGACACTAGCCTCTAACCCTGGAGTCTCGGGTTCGAACCCCAGTTGAGGAGCTAGAATTTTTTCTAAACCAGAAATAAATTCTAGCATACTCGAACATTGGGTGTGTCCATTGTCTCTAAATGAGACACAAGGTACCTTGAGGTACCTTCAGGGATACAGTGGATTGTATTACCTGTGATGTTTAATTTAATTAAATTTTAATTAATTTAATAACAAACTTCATTTTTTCTCCAGAAATAATTAATTGTTTACGAAAAATTTAAAATAATTATTGTGATAGGCAACTTTTTGGTCATGTTGATATCAAAAATTTAATTATCTCCTTAGGCTTGGTTATTCAATGCGTGGTTAGCAAAATTAGCAACATTTGATGCAAAATAATTATATAAATTTTAACGCATTTTCTCCAAACTTATGGACCTTCTTGACATAAAACCTGAATGCATTTAATTTTTCAATAATCTCTGAATAAAAACCGTCACAGAATAGACGAATCGATTACTGTTAACTGAAATTTTTTCTTATAAAACATAACGCACTCAATATTTTTCGTGCCCAAATCATAAATATAAAGAAGGAACTTTACTGAATAAAATATCAACCATGGATCATTACTTGAACACTTTTTTTTATTTAGATAGTAAATCTAATTATACCCGTTACTGTGATATCTAGAGATCGGAAGATAGCGATAAATAGAGCTCGGACGGAGATATCGGTTCCCAGTGACGCTTTTTATGCAGTCATAATGTTGTAAACACCTACAATACTGAAACATTCCGAAACAACAGAAAAAACAGAAATTTATACAACATGATAAAGCGAATTTTATTTAATTTTAAATGTTAATACGTAAACTAGTTTTATCGGAAAACGTATGACAAAAAAAAAGTTATATTTTTACAGTGGCCAAATTTGGGGTGACGTCATACTATATTTTTCCATATAACTCATGAATGGCTGGAGATATCTAAATTCTGTAAAGACATTAGATTGGATCCTTGTTAAGGGCTACTCAGCGGAACGTGTTTAAACCTAATGCCTTTCTGGTTCCTAAATTTTTGTTTGTAGAAAGAATGACTTAACAAACTTATACTTAAACGAATTATGCTTAAATATATTAATGCTTTGCTTATACTATGGTCCTTGTGTTAGGGATCTCTAGTGTGGAAGGCCGTAGTGGGGGGTCGTAGGCGGGGACCATATACGGGAGCCACAGGAGTTGGTACATACAGGTAGTACAAGGCATTCACATCTAGTAGCCGTCAATTAACACCTGGCCGGCGGCTTCCTTTGATGTATGTCGACAGAGTTTGTCACGGTCAAAATGTGTGAATATAAATAAAAATGATCTTCAAAAAGTTCCCACGCCGAAGTAAACCAATACCTGTTGGTTTGTTTATGTGTTAATTTAGTGTTACATTCAATACCCCAGTCCTCTTCGAGTGAACGTTTATAAGAAATTGACTTTATGAAACTTGCATATTACGGAATTTGCTAAAAAATTACATGGCAAGATGTATTGGTTCATGAACGCGCTGGCACATAACTTAGAGCCAGTCTAGATATTGATGTCACCAATAGCTAAATTCCCACCTCCAGCGATAAATTAAATCAATTCCAGATTTGACGCTAGGTGATGTGCCAACGCGTAAATATGTTCATACATATTTAACACAATATCTTACCTTGTGGCTCTTTTGGCGAGTTCGGTAACATACAAAGTTAGTACGAAGGGTAAAAGTATTGGTGAATATAACACTAACACACTTATGTATTTTCAACTAGCGACCACAAGGGTAAAATCACTTTACCAATAATAATACACCCACTAAAAAATTTGCCACTTTCCAGCTGCAGGCATTGGTGTTTTCATCCACGCTAATCTGGACGTATTTGCCGTTCAGCTCAGTTCTTTTTTTGTTTAATACCGTCACGTCTCTGTGATAAATATTTCCGATGGCATCTAAACATTGCTATACTGTCCACTAATAGACTTTTGCAAAAATTGTTTACATAGTGGATTATCTAATTTCGTCCACACTTTCAACATGGGGCAGCGGACGTAAACGTGATAGCCAGCCAAGCGACGCGATTCGCCTATACATTGTTCTTTTTATCTTTGCGTGTGTATCAAATTAGATACGAACTGCGTCCGCAGCAATACATTTATAGGATAAGTAAATATAGAGATACGTATGTCTAGTCAGACTAACTCATCTGACCGATAAGTAAATAATTTGTGGAACAAAGACACGGTTATGAACCTGTGTCTCAGTTTCATGACAAGCTTGTTTGTCACTTGATTCAGCGGCGTCGTAATATTTCTGCAATTAATTTTTTAGCATTATATTATTAGCTGTATGAATCATAACTTGAAAATTACCTTTGACAAGTACCCAGTGGCGGCCGGTGAAATTAAGGATATGCTCTATCTCTGTTGGAATATATAAAAAAAATTGTTCTCCAGTACACACCACTGCTCAAAAGTAAAGATGATCTTCAATTTATTTATTTCATACAGCTTGTGATTGTGACGTACGCGTAAAGATCCATACAACAATGTATATCTATCTATTGGGTTGTTATTGGACACTCGATAATAACGGCCATTTCCTCGTCAAGATGATGGGCTGTAAGTTTGTGTTCTTTTTTATGGCTACAAGCCGTCCAATTACCTGATAAACACCTTTAAGTTTTTGTTCCCATTTTTATAAAGAAAATAGATTTATTGCATAGTACATAACAATCAGTTCATGTTGTTTGGGAATTAAGTGTTTAAAATATATAATATTCACGTAAAAGTCTTGAATTTATCGCTATCTTCCGATCTCTATATATCACCCACAATCACCTTAATCATTTTGCATAATTACAGTTGTCTATATTATTTACAAAAAAATAAATAAAAGTCTATGAATTTATAAAAATAAAACAAACACATACTTATTAAATTTTTGTAGAAATTTAATTAACTTCTATTTTCTTTTATTATATACTCTCAATTAAAACAACTTCTAACTAGGTCACTTTAATTTTGTTTTAATTCTTTATTACAGTATTAAATGACTGTCAATAAATAAATATTTTAGTAGCAAAAGTTAATATTTGCTTGTTAGTTAATTCTCATCTCTTCCCTTCTGACAGTGTTTATTTAATTTTTAATTTTTTTGATACGAAAATGCTTGAACATGCAAATTGGTTAAAACATAAAATCTACAAAAACCCTCTTACCCGAATTATTTCTGTTTATATTCTAGTACTTACTTCTCAAAATTAAATAAATTTACTCACCTGAAACAAAAGAAAGCGTAATTAGCTATTTTATAAAAACATGTATATGTGTATAAAATAAACGAGTTCATGAATGAAAAATAAAATAAAATGTAATTAGATAGCAATTAAGTAGTATAATTTAGTGAACAGATGTAATTTAATTTTATTTTAAATCAAATATTACTTTAAATCATGCATATTTGTATAGCTTCGTCGCTTTTAAATGACTAGATGATGCTGATATTCGTGTGTTACTTGAGGCGATGTGGCGATTTTATTATTGAAACGGGACAGCTCAGTGGTATTAAAATCATATATCACTCTTTGATCTAGGTAATCCATTTCAATGATAAGCTTGATCCATCCCCGAAAGCAGACATGGATATCAGCGCCTTCCGGTCACTTAAAACTGACGGAGCTGTAAGTCATTTTTACATGATATATGAATGTTGTTCTATGATTCATAATAATCATAGATGTTGGGTAACTGAAATCTATAGATCAAAGATCACAACATTGCTTTTTAAAAAGCTACTTCCTGGCTATTAATAAGGTCATGTTATAAATTATAATAAACGCAAAATTATATTAGTTATAATTTAATCGTTAGAACTTTTAATCAATCAAATCATCACGTTATTAATTAATTAAAATACTGAAACTTTAAAGAAAATTAGTGATAGTCAACAGATACAAAAGTCTTTCAACCATCGTGATTATTCATCTCTGTACGCGATGAAGATTTACAAATTAACGGTAATAAATTAAGTAGTATTTGTTTACAAGAGAAACTTAATAGAAAAAGGAGAAATCTGTAAATTAAACTACCCAGCAGATATCAAGAATCTTCCAGTGATATATTTTTTGGATTTACTGTTTCTATAAAATTATTGGATTGTATCATGAAGAGTAAGGGTAAGCAGACTCTCTAATAAGTAGTGAACAGTAGTAGTAATTTAAAATAGTAAATAGTAATTTAAATAATTTAATTAGTAATTTAAATAACCTTTTAAGGCCTGAGATACTATTAGCCAACTAGAGTGCCCAGTCAATAAAGATTTGATCCGGACATTGTTGTAAAGCTGTATTGGGCATATGTAGATCATCTTCCTGTATAACATTCAAAAGTCTCCATATCTGCACCGCTTGTTTCTTTGAGAATAATGCATAATAATGCAGATATTTTATTAAATTATTATACCAATGGACTGTAATAATTTCAAAATGTGTTCAGAGATGGTGTTACCAGTACAAAAATTTAAATCAAATAGCCACAACAATGTCTGGACTTATAAAGAAGGATATAGAATTATTTGTGAAAAGTCAGGAATATTACGATACTTCTAAACTGCACATAGATGGATAGATAACGTATGCATTATGTCAAAGTGCTCAGTACTGATTTGGAATTATCATAGTAAAGATGAAATAAGTTAGAGCCAAGGATGCATGAAAAATAGAACTTCTATTGTAGAGGTGAAGTAGAAATTTCGAAACAGAATGGAAAAGCCAAATTGGCGCTTGTCTTTCATAGAGTTCTAGTCTAAGCTGTATTAAACAGAGTGTCACTCAAGGATCGGTTATTCATGCCAACAATTTTGTCTTCCTTCATTACTCTGCTTCTTCATCAATCATCACTCAGCTTTACCTCATCCAATAATTGGAACATTTTTGGAAGTCCAGTTGATTCTTTGTCATCTTCGCCCTCGCTATCTGGTTCATTGTTATCGCCTAGCAAGGGATCAGTATATTATACACTACTTCGGAAAGTGGTAAT